AACAGGAAGGAGTCGTTTTATAATGTATTCTAAAGAATTCATTCATGCTGAATAGATTTGTTAAGAAAGACTGCTTCTTTAAAAAAAGAGAATAACAAAGATATATTAATATTCTAATGTAAGTTACATGAAGATCTTTCCGCTCAGGTCAGTTGAGTTTAAGTCAGCACTGGAACAACCGCACCCTTCAAAATGGCGGATTTCAGTTTCCTTATTTCGCAATTGTTGGTATTTTTGAAGCGTCGAAAATACGAAATGATTTGGAAAATAGTTTCGCTTCAATACTATAATCAATATATGAAAACGAAAAAAAGTCTATTGTTACAATTTTTATAAGGATTATATATTAATCATGTTAAATCCCGAGTTGATCCAGTATCGAAGGACTAGGAAAAAGAGAGCAATGTGATAAGAATTCGTATCGAGATTTCGTTGGAAATGATATCTGTCCAGGAAAGAAGCTATTCGAGTGTTTCACTCTTCGAGGAAACTGACTTTGAAGATTCTCGATGCACGGAACGCGCGTTATATAACGTGAGAGGAGGTGATTTTAATCGCCTCGCCGCGCGCTAATTACTTATTTACTCTGTCATCTGATAAACGTTGCGTCTAAGCCCTTCGCACACGAAACAGTAACACTTCACGCGACCCGACGGTCTCGTTTCGATTCTTCGCGCGAACGAGTGTTTGGATCAATGATGATCGATCTCCCATTTGGATCAATCTTAATTAACATTCGGTTGATCGACAACTCGACTTTTGAATGTTTCTTTCGATACAGACCGAAAACTTGCGTATTCGTCTATTTATTTCTTTTGTCAAGAGAAGAATCGAAGGAACACAAACATAAATAACCATTGACGTCGCGCCAACATTCGTGTTCGAGATAAAATAACGCGTCGCGTGACTCTTCTACAAAATTGCATTTCGTAAAATCACTGGAGAATCGCATGATTCATAGAGAAAAATAAGTTACTAGATTTAGTTCGGTCTTAATATTGATAGTCTTGTTTTGATTTGAGTGAATCAAAAACTAATCCAAAATCACGATTTGGAACATTAAAAATCGCTAAATAATTGAAGAACATGATCGTCTTGGAAGAAAAAAAACTTTTCCAGAACTTTCTCTGTGTTTTTCGTTCTCTTTGAAACCAAGAAATTTCAGTTTTCTCTTAATACGACCGACGTGGCTTCTGTTTTACAAGAACAATAGACATTGTTTCACAGAAACAGCAGGGGTATTTGAATAAACAAATACAGAATGTTATAAAAAATAATAGATTGCTTGTTCGTACACGAAATGATTAATTCGAGGACTAGTTTCCGAGGATACCGCAAAATAATTGAATTTCTGGCAGTAGGGTCTCGTTTCGATTAATCGGCGACAGAACGGTTGATTAAACCGCGAAGAACAAACATAGAAACATTTTCAGTCGTGGATTCAGTTGTGTTGTATTTCGTAGAAAAAGATCGGGGAAACGACGCGACGAACAATAATAAATTTCAGCGGTTGTTCGCGGCTGTCGTGAACCGGAAGTCCGCGGAAGAAAGTCCGTGAGGCGGTGACGAACCTTCGACGCGAAGAGAAAGTCGGGAACGCTTAAGTACTAATCGTCGCGACGCGAAGCCGATCTAATTGAGAGCGACGAAGAATTTAAAAAAAGAAGGAAAGAAAACAGCTCTTAACCGGAAATTGAACTACGAAGAGCAACGATCGACGAATGGGAACGAGTTGCCGAGACCAACTTCACCGAATCGATCGCCATGATTCCGAGACGTGTCTCAATGATTAGACTGCGAACGTTTGTTAATTTGCATCTGAAGGGGCATACGTTATGAATTTTCTTAAACGTACTTTATCATTTTAACTGTGTATTTTACAAATATGAAGTATGAATTCCAGAAGAATTAAATTAATATACTAAACATTGTATAAAAACCAATCCTTCGGTTAAACGTCCGCAGTCTACTAACGACAGACGTCAGGCAGAAGCCGATGAATTCCGATTTATTGAATAATTGATGAATAATTCGATACGAGGGTTGAAAGAAATATCGTAACATTGATTTGCGTATTCCTTTTCTCTTTTTTTTGGAGGGAAAGGTAGGGTGGGGAATATTTGCAAAATTTATAAAACTTTTTATAATCACTAAATCAGGATTCACCGTGAAAGTTTGTTCCTAGAAGTTTGATTGCCGTTCCGAAGACCGGAAATTGTCTCCTAGCGTTCGTTAACTCGAAACGAAGTAGCGATTGCATTTCCTGGCAGTGTTGAGACGAAGCGTAAAACGAAACTCGTGTGAAATGACGAACATATGATATATATATATATATATGTAAGATATGAAAGTCGAAACATTGAAAGACATCGAATGAAAACGGAAAATGTTTCCGGAGATATTCGGATTCGATTCAGTGACTGCTCATACGCTGCTCGGAGTAATTAGAGAATTAAATAAGATTGATTTGTTTCTCTCGATAGAGCGCCGAATGAATTAACGGATTCGAGTTGTTAGGCATCGAGGAAAATATTACTATGTTAAATAGACATTATCTTCTATACACAAGATCGTAACTCTCTAATTATTCTGGTCAGTGTACGTATGTAGCTACGTCGTACTGATATATTTTAACGAGTAGATTGCGGACTTTTATGCATGTACGTCACGAAAGACTGTTTAACGCAGGACACAGGCGATGAATGTAAATGTTTCGAAATGAATTAATCGGATAAGAGAATTTTCGGTTTCGTACAAATTTATGTAAATTAATGAACAAGAAGAACGTGCGGCTGCATAAACATTCACAGTCTATCGGTGATTCGATTACACGTATTAAATGGAAAGCATAAATATCACATGTCTCATGTTTTCGAGTCTCGTAATTAATTATCACGTGCCCTGTTTCACTTTTCTTTCTCGGATGGCAACGCAGAGTAAGGGACGCGAACGGCTCGTTCGCGGCTTGCATACCCTGTAGTTCATTCCATTAAAAATGAAAGGAAAAATGCAAAGTGAACCTAACGTTTTGTAAAATCTGTTCGATACGTGTGAGTGTAGGTTTGTTTGTAAGAGTGGTTCTGTTAGTTCAAGTCTGCAGAATGATTCTTACAACTGAAGAGACTATGACTTGTTCCTTTCAACTGACAACGATGAAAAGAAACGTTTGCGTCCGTTGCTGAAATTCGACTACCAACAGCTGGTGTAGTCTTTACATAAATATATAAAATATCAAAGTACTTTTGCTCACAGGTTGCTACCTATATTGTCTTAGGTTGTTGCATATGAAACGGTGAACGTTCTCGATAACATTTCATGCTACGGAAAACTATTAACAAACTTTTCGTTCAGCAGACAAGTAATCGCTCTCCCGGAAAAAGTAACAACGTTAAATTAGTTTCTTTTTTGTTCACTGCTCCAGCATGGCATGGGACAGCGCCACACGATCTGCGACCGTCACTAACTAATTTTCCATCGATCAGAAAAAGAAAGAAAAAGAAATTAATATTAAAACCTGCACTTCGTACGCAACAACTCGATACATCTACCCGCTTAAAAAAAGAAAATAATAAATTCTGAAGTAGTTATACTCTTCTATAAACTATAAACTATACAATGCTCAACCTCCTTCCGATCTCTATCTAATTCCAGTTGC